TATAGATGATTGGAGCTCAAATGGGGTGGGCTACTAAACCCCTCTTTATACCCCTTGGGTCACGTAGGCTTCTTCCTGGTCTCAAGTGGCCAATTAGGAAAAATGGCTTTGAACACCAAGTTTCCCACGAAGGGTGCAAAGCATAATTCACACCTGGAAAAATGCAGACAATGGGTACCTCTGGTATGTGATGGGTGAAGATTCCTCTCCTGGGACAGTGCAGGCGTGTCAATTACTGGTACTAGCCATCAGGGCAACGGGAGGCCCCGGGTCGTCAGCTAGCCCATTTACTGTCTGGTTTCTATTTATGGTAGAGTCAGGGACAGGCACCACACCTGCGTTCCCAGGGCATCAAAGGCTGACTGCCTTTCTCTTGCTACTCCGGAATAGGGCTTTATTCTGGAGGATCGCGCCAGTCTGGACGCTCTTTTCTGGCTTTTCCCCAAGCCGGAAAAAAAGCGGCAGCCATGTTTATTTAAATCCCGCAGGGGATATTTAAATCCCCCGCAGATTTCCCTATTCCAAAGTTCGAAATTAGCATGCCTCTTCCGAAGAAGGGGCCAGTCTAGACGTAGCCTTGCAGATAGGAGACTCTCCTGATGAACAGAAAGGGAGAAAATCTTAGAGTGCTCTGAAGGAATAGCCCCCAAGCCGGTTAGTTGTACTGCAGTCAGCTGTATTGTTTGGGAAAGCTGCTATTCACATGAGAGGGCCTGGTGCTGATCTTCCATAGCCAGAAATGGCAGGCCGCCCCAGCAGGTTATCAAGTCCACATAAACCTCCTCATGCCTCTTTTATTGTGCCCCGCCTTTCTCCTTTGTAACCCCATGTGTCCTTTCCCCCATTTCTTCCACAGGACACCCATCCTATTACCAGAAAGGAAGCCCATGGCTGTAGAGTGCTTTGAGAACAGCTGCCTGGAACAAGAACATCGCTCACATTATTCTCTCAGCCCCCAGCTGGAGTGAGAGGTTAGACTCCATAGGTCTTTTCCCATCTCTTGTGTGATGTCGCATTAGCGCTACTCATCCAACTACTAGCCCTGCCAACAGGGTTTTTATTAGAAAACATGGAGGAAGCCTTTCCAAGCCTCAGAAGAATCATCTTGTAAAGATCTGGGCTTGCGATGCCAAATGATGGCTGCTTTGGCGGAGTCTGAACATTCATATTTTATTGGTCACAAACGCTTTCCAGATGCTGGCATGCTGGCTGCAGATTGCAGCTCTGGGGACTTGGCTCTCAGCCCTAGTCACTTTGTTAAACTCTTGACCTGCTGTGGGTTAAAAGAAGCAGGGAATGGGACTGAGTCACCACTAGGGCACTGCTGTGAAAGTGGGAGAGCGCAGGCACTAGACAGCAGAGACCACTGCAGCAGCTTGCCGTGCTCAGCTGGCATGGAAAAAATTTAAGGTGGTTCAGAGACATGCTCCCAGCTCAACTGAGAACAGGAGTGAGAATTGTAACTTAGGGTAGTGATTGGTTGGAGGGAAGCAGCTCTATGCCTGGATTATGCATTGTGCAGACCAGACCCTTTCCAGGAATTTTGGTCGCCCCCCCCCCCTGTAGAAGCAAGCCCCTCTGTCACCTATTCATAGCTGTGTGCAACATACAGACTGACAACTGAAGCCAAGAATTTTGGCTTAGATTCACATTAAATGGCAAACCTGAAACAGAGGGCAGGGCTACATTAAGACTGTGGCTATGCTACGGAGCTTACAGTTGCACCATAATGCTACTTGTGCAGGTGCTCTAAGATCTGAAGCAGCATTAGCTACTACAGCAGGAGAAGTTCTACAGCAGGAGAAGTTCTCCAGCCAACAGAGGGTCATCCACACCAGCACGTATGTTGGTGTAAATTATATCACTCATAATTAAATCCACACCCATGAGAAAGTTATGCTGACTGTTATGCTCCCATTGACATAGCTACTGCTTCTCCCAGAGGTGTATTAAGTACATAAGTGGGAGAACTTCTCCCATTAGTGTATAATGTTTTCACTGTTACTGCAGCATTTTAAGTGTAGTCCTGCTCTGAGTCCCCCTTTCATTCCAAAGCCTCTTCTGAGATTTGAAAGTCTTCCAGGGGAAAAAAGCTAGTTGGATTTAAGGTTGTCACATGATATTCCAAGCCATTGAGAAAAGAGCATTGAACAAGTGGAAAGGAAATATAATTTGGTAGAGTAGGTTGATATTTTTTCACAAAAAAAAATTGCTTCTAAAACAAGTTTTTTTTTTCTCAAAAATTATTTTTTTCTATAGGAAAATGTAGAAAGAAACCTGATAAGATTCAACAAGGACAAGTGCAGAGCCCTGCACTTGGGATGGAAGAAACCTAAGCACTGTTACAGGCTGGAGACCGACTGGCTAAGCAGCAGTTTGGCAGAAAAGGACTTTGGGATAACAGTGGATGAGAAGCTGGATATGATTAACAGTGTGCCCTTGTAGCCAAGAAGGCTAATGGCATATTAGGGTGCATTAGGAGGAACATTGCCAGCAGATCTAGAGAAGTGATGATTCCCCTTTATTTGGCTTTGGTGAGGCCACATCTGGAGTATTACGTCCAGTTCTGGGTCCCCCACTACAGAAAGGATGTGGACACATTGGAGATTGTCCAGTGGAGGGCAACCAAAATGATTTGGGGGCTGGAGCACATGACCTATGAAGAGAGGCTGAGGGATTTGGGCTTTTTTAGTCAACAGAAGCGAACAGTGAGGGGGGATTTGATAGCAGCCTTCAACTTCCTGAAAGGAGGTTCCAAAGAGGATGGAGAGAGACTGTTCACAGTAGTGACAGATGGCAGAATGAGGAGCAATGGTCTCAAGTTACAGTGGGGGAGGTCTAAGTTGGATATTAGGAAAAACTCTTTCACTAGGAGGGTGGTGAAGCACTGGACTGGGTTACGTAAGAAGGTGTAGTATCTCTATCCCTAGAGGCTTTCAAGTCTCAGCTTGACAAACCACTGGCTCGGATGATTTAGTCAGGGTTGATCCTGCTTTGAATGACCTTCTGAGGTCTCTTCCAGTCCTAGAATTCTATGCTTCTATGATCTATGATTCTATGTGCCCACCCTCACAAGCTATTCTTAAAAGGGTCCTTAAGATTTCCCCTCCTGTCAATCCTCAGGCTAATCCCCATGTGGTCCTGTGGGTTACTCCTTCATCCAGGACTGAGCTCTCTTTTCTTCTCTGCAATGCTTTACCTACATAAGCTTTGTCTACACTACCAGGTTATTTTGAAATAATAACCTCCCAAATAACTATTTCAAAATAAGTTTCTTCTTCTTCACAAGCAGGAGTTATTATTTTGAAATAACAAGCCCATTATTTCAAAATAACAGGTTTGGTAGTGTGGATGCTCACCTCGTTGTTTTGAAATAACTTCCTAGTGCAGACATGCCTATACTGAGCTGGAAAAGGCTAGGCTTGCTGGATAGACACTGTTACTCCTGGTATCCACTAAAGGGGATAATGAAATGCACTGCTATGGGGTTCTTGCCTTCCAAAGGAGCATGAATCTAATCTCTTAGGAATGCAGGAGGATGTTGAAGGTCCGCAGCAATGATTTAACCCCTTTCTACACTAGGAAAAAGACATATGAGTTGGTTAGCACAATAACAATTTTTTTCAAAGTGGGCTGTGGGCCTGCGTTGGGAAAGCTGCTAGAGACCCACACCAGTTTGTTTACCTAAAGGGTTTGAAACCCCCGGACGGAGCCTTACAGTTTCCATTTACTTCTATTTGCAGCTTCCTGTGGTGGGGACAAGGGGAGCCACAAAGATCTGTGGCTTTCAACCCTTTAGGTAAACGAAGCAGTGCAGATCCGCTAGTACCTTTCTTAAAATGGGTCCGTGGAATACTGAGACACACTGACCTGTAAGAACAGCCCTATTGGATCAGACTAATGGTCCATCTAGCCTGGTGGTTCCAAACCTTTTTTATACCGGAGACCAGCAAACCCATTTGCAAACTTTTTGGCAGACTGGAATAATTCAATTTGCATAGTTGCATATTCATTATGCAAATAATGAACATGCAAATATGCAAATAAAATGTTGCTGGTCCACCAAAAGCCCTGGCCCCCAGAAGCCACAGCCCT